GGATGCAACAAATGCCTCGGTTATAATGGATTTTAATGTTTTTGTCTCGTCGCTCTGGCCGGGACAAGTCATCACAATATGGTAAGGGACGTAACATTTCTGGCAACATTTCCGGCCAATCACAACGTACTGGATAGCTGGCCAATCAGAGCACACCTCGCTTTTCAGACCGATGAGCTTTGCAAAAATTTACGCGTTTCATAAAGGCGGGGCATAGAGGAGAAACAATAATGTACAGTATGTGGAAAATAATGTGTTTTTTGAACCTTAAACCGCATAAACACATTTCATTACACCAAATACAGCAAATAATGTTCTTTTTACCAACATCATATGACCCCTTTAATATGTGCGCACCACTTTATTCGTCCAGGTTGCCTTGACCATGTATTTTTAAACTGCGGCTGGTCGTTTTTTTAATATGGTATTTTTCTTGACTACTTTCGCTCATCCCAACTGCATTTTAATTTGCAGCTGAAAGAAAATTCTAAATATTTAATTAAAAACAAGAATTTTAAGAATGACAGGCATTGAAATTCTGTGGAACAGATTCCATGTGGACCTGGCAATAACCTGCACAAGCAATTACATGTAATTGCAAGCATGAGACGGAAAATAGATTATTTCAAGTCAACACAGAAATGACAACTCAGAAAACTCTATCACCAACAAAAAAAGAAAAAATCATTATGGTCTTTTACTGCTGTACTTACAGACAGTGGCCATCTGACTGAAGACTCCAAAGAGTGCAACGTGGATGATTGAAAAGACGCTATCCTTTCCAAAACTGACAGGCAGAAGATTAAATTGAACTAAATGGTTTGTACCTGCTGCAATTTTCTCTCTTTACTCTAACAAGTCTATCACCAAAGCCATAGTCTGAGTTACAGATTGTTGCCTGGTAAACAGTACTGGGAAGCCTTGTTAGTTTGTCTGTCAGTTTAAATATTTTTCATAATTACAGTTTTAGCTCCAGTCTGAACTGATACTGTTTTGTGGTCCAAGGTCACATATCTCTTCAGAAGACTTGGATTAAATGCATATGCATCATATCGATCATGAACTTTCTAAAGCAGGGGTCTCCAACCTTATTTCATTCAGGAGCTACTTTTTAAAAATGAATGCGGCTAAGAGCTACCAATGTTATACAATACTTAAATCTCTTAAATATATGTAAATCCAAACTGTTATACATGGCATTGTAAATATGTGCTGGAAATATAAAAAAAGTACTGATACACACACTGAAATCATTTTATCAAGTTTTATGACAAAAGCCAACAAATAAAATTAGCACATATGCACTTTTTGTTTGCATAAACAGTGAAATAAAAACATTAAAAAATGATGGCCGGATTTTAAACTAACAAAAAATATTCAAAAAATGTTATCTACTGACATGCACTACATGTTCAAATAAAGTTTTGACCATTTTTTAAAATAAAACTATAACATTTCAGTCTTTAAATCTTTTTTTTTTTTTTTATAAAAAGGATGAGTCAGAATGATTAAAAAATAAATAAAATCTGCTCCATAAATAGTTCTACACACTAATGTGCATTCAAAAAATCTCAGTTTCTGATAACAAGGTCAGCTATTTTCCATTGACCGGTTAAGATTTACAACAAAAATTTGGTCCAATTTTCGCATTGAACAAAAAATATGGCAGACAGACTGACTGAATTTGTAAATCCACAGTTTGACAACAGATGGCGCTTATGAACAGAACAGAGCTGTTTCCACGGTAACCTCTGTAAACAGAGCTGCCCTGCGCTTCTAAGCACTGCTTTATTACGCATTACACGCAGGGACGGACTGGGAGTAAAAAACGTCCCTGGATTTTCTCCCAAATAGGCCCACCACAACTACAAACAGCCGCTTCTATCTCACAATATTACAGCAATCAATGCATTGAATTTATGGCAAAAAACATCACAAAACCCACGGTGACCCTGCTGAAAAAAAAAACAATAGAAACCATCACAGAAATTCTAATGGTTTCCACTACAAAAGCCATTACAAACATTACAAACCATCAACTTTTAATCATTAAAACCATTAAATAATGGTTTCCTGTAGTGTGTTTTGGGACATGTTCCATTAGGATTTAGTGGTTTTAACAATAATAATATTAAACAACAATAATAGGCAACCAATTACCAGTAGAGACCAATAGGCTCCATTACAATTTCCATTAAAACCAATACAATTTCCATTACAACCAGTAAAACCATTACAAATTCTATTGATGGTTTCTATCATTGTTTTTTTATTTCAGCAGGGGCTTGAAATAAATGTATTATTATATGAACTTAAATACTTGAAATCTACATAAAAATAGCAGAAAGCAAAAATGTATATGACATAATAATAAACATAAGATCTAGAAACCTGAAACTACAGAATTCTTCAATTTGAGTATTCATATGTCTATGTGTGTGTGTGTGTGTCATGTTAATCGAAGCAATCACCTTACAGGCTACTTGATTTACTCTATTTTCTAACTCAATATCTCTCAAATGTAACCCCTTGTAGAATCGCTGCTGTCTCTTTATGAATGAATGGAATATTTATGTCAGACAATGCAAAGTGATAAACAACATTGGACACTCGGACTAGGGGTGTCCTG